GTGTTGAAGTTAAAAAGAAACAGCATGTGGTATAAGAAATAAATGACAAAGAAGCTGCATATGATTTTTCTAATGTAAGAACTGATTCTGTTGCATGGGAAGGGATTGGGTTGCTCATGATCTCTTTCAAAGAACCGTAAGCACAGGGTTAATACTTACTCCTTTGCGGACCTCCAGTTTAGGGGGAACCACCTTTGCTTATTAACCAGTGATATCATAAATACTTATGGTTCAAAAATCTGAGTACTTAGATTCAGAGTATGAATTAATGTAGGAGTAAGAATTCCTAGATTTCTTCTGCCTTTGTCCCCCAGATCAATCCCGGCAGCGCAGTAAGTACTTAGCTGTTGCACACAGTAGGAAGCAGAATTTGTTTGCACATTAAAAACAGGTACAACAGTGTTGAAACAGGCAAACTGATCTCTCGGTTCAATATTATTCCCTGAAAAGTAGGGTAGGAATTAATACGCTCTTGATCTTTGGATGACTGAAAGAAGAAAAATACAATGTTGTGGCTGAATTCAGGGAATTTTATTGGTGAGAGTGGCTGGGTTCTGGTATCACTTCCTCTTATAGCCAGTTGTTGGCAAAAGGCCTTGAGAGAGTTTTTTCTACCCTAGATTCTAATTTTTTCAGTCCAGAATAATTTTGGAAAGTGATATCCCAAGGAGCAGGGAAGACAAATGTCTTTGGTGCTCATAACATCAATTTTAGGAACCACTGATGTTGGCAGCCACTGTCTGAAGAATATGGTCCATGTGCTTGGTATGGCATAGACAATATTTAACAAAAGCACATGGGTGACTGGCGTGCCTCTGGGGAGCCTGAGTTTTTACACTGCAGTGGAACTATGCCTATGCTGCATCTGTAGTGCTGTAGAGCTACAATTTTAATCAGGACTCCCCAGTATTTGGTGCTCTACAAGCTCAGGCCACAGTCCCAGCTCCAAAATGAATGTTACTGGGGTCAGCATTTTTTTGTTTGTTCCTTAATCTACTATGACTGGAAAGATTATTAAACATTAATAGCCATAGCCATTGTGAGGACTACAAGGGGCTGTTGCTGATTGCAGAGGGAATTCAAGGTATTCGTTTGACCTTCCTTCTCTGACCGGATTTGACTTACTAAAACACCAGGAGGAAAAACAATCTTAGAACTTTCTAGCATCTCAGTGAGTAACTTTTCTTATTAAAAAAGTCTCACTTTGTCAGTGTAGGAATGTGAGGCTCAGTGTGTTAGCAGAAACACAAAACATGGAAACATGGAAAGAGGAGAGTTAGAAGTAGGAAGACTTTTTTCTTCTGGCAGTGGTGAGCTGTGGCTCAGTGTGGTTGTCCGTGGGATTACAAGGGTTTAGCCAGCAACAGAGAAGCCTTCAGCAGTGTGGGGTTTGCAGTTCTCTTGCAGGTATGTAGTTGTAACCAATAGACAGAGAAGGTGTAGAGCTTTCTAGAGATCGTGCCAGGGTTCAGTGGGAGTGGAGGGCTGGCGCTTGGGTTTGCTAGGTAACATTGTAGCCCATAGTGTCTAACAGGACATGTGCTTTAAAGCAGCACATCAAATGGCTATGACCTAAGTGCTGATCTGTCCTCTGAATAGCCTGCAGTGGATCCAGATGGGACATCTCAGAGGATAGTGCAGCTAAAGGGACTTTGAAATACAGTCTTTTTGCTGGGAGCAGTTTCTGTACTTGTTCTTATATTATCATTATGGTCTGTAACTCTGGTTTTGCAATAACAAAGGGCATGGGCTATTTCACTTTACTAGATTGTAAATTGGTAGGTCAATCTGTTGTAGCAGAAAGAATGAAGTAATTATCCTTTCATCTTGGCACCTATCCATGATCTAATGCTCGTGGTTTGAAAAGACTGGCATGGCTTTGTGGATTTGCAGGGCAGTTTCGAGAACAGCTGGTGACAGGTTACCTGCAGTATTTAAGGTTTGTTCATTGTCAGGTGTCAAAATCACCAAACATTCCTACAACCTGAAGCAGTAATTCAAATTCTTGTGCAAATGCAAGGTTAAATTAGTTTAAATAACTATTCTGTGGAGTTGAGACCTGCTGGCCTTCTTGCTCATAGTGAAAGCAAATTAAGTTCAGGACTACTTTGTACGATAGCTGAGAGGTCTCCAGTGTGAAATGTCAACCAATAAAGCAATGTCCCTTTACCTATATGATAGCAATGGATTGAAAAAATCCTTCACTTTTCCTGAAGTCCAACATGCTACCAATTTGTATTAGTTTGAAGATGGATATCAATTGTTCTTCAGGAGAAAAGGTTTAAATTATCTCACTGACAGTATGTTTTGGATTGAGTTTTTTGTATTGTGTAGGGAGGATTGCATTGATTAGCAAATATACTTGGTTTTCCTTGACTTGTGGAAAGGTCCTGCATTAATGTATATCAGTTTGTGCTACTATATATGTGTTCTCTGATGTGATAGACCTCACCAGACCATTGGTTATATCTCACATAAGCCTTGAACTTCATGTCATTGGAAAAGAGAATTATGATTGAAGCAGATTCTTTTCTTTCTTCAGTTTTATCCCTCTGCTGCCATGTTTAGATAAACTACCTGCATACTTTTGAAAGTAACTCTGGTCAGTAAAGTGGCTTTTATTGTCACATCACCCAGGTCACTGGAATACAAAATTATTTTTCTGATTTAGAATGGGCCTTATACAGAGCTGACTATGCCATTTGTAAGGTGGTGAAAGGTCATGGCTGTTGAACACCACAAAGAAGTCCAAGATTAATTTCTTCATGCCAGCCAGGAAGAAACTTCCCTCCACCTCATAAGTTTCTTCTTTCTTCCTGACTGTATCCCATAAATGCTGTACTGGTAGAACAGAATCATAGTTTTTCTGCATATTCTACAAAGGAAATACTGTGAGCTTGTTGAATATTGATGGAAAACCTGAACCAGCTCTGCTGGCCCTAAAAAAGGCTATAGGCAGCTTTCAGTATGTGTTGTTATGCCTGAGCTTATGGCACAGTTGGGCAACACAGTTTTCAGTACCAGAGGCAGTTGTGTATTCCAGCAGTGTTGTTTGGATGTGCCTAAACTGTGTACTGGCAGGAAATCCTACCTCGCTTCCTGCCAGGTACTGTCAGCACATTCACCCTTAAAGCATGCTGATATAAAGAATTTATGCAGTCTAGTGCTATTCTTCAGAGCTCCTTGGTGCATGTTTGCCAGTGAAAAAGCACTGACTGGTCTGGCAGTACAAAAGGGATACGAGAGAACATTTATAAAATAGCAAACAGCTTGAAAACAGAACCCTCAGCATTTGGACTTTGAGAGGAGATGACACTGTGTTGTAGCGACAGGGTGCTTCTTCATGAAGAAGTCCAGCTTCCCAAGCCATTTGGGCTCCTTTTTGGGCATTCATCTTTCCCTGCTAAAGTCTTTTAGGCTGGCTCAGATCCTTTGGCCATGGTTGAAATATGCTTTTTGGTTGTTTCCTTGATATTCAGATCTTCCTTCATCCCTCCCTTTGGTATTTTTCTGCTCAATAGTCTGTATATGTGTTTATGTCAGATTTTTTAAAATTTTATTTGGGTGTGATTTTAATTTTTAAACAGAATATGCTTACCTACAGCTAAATTATCTATAACCAGAGTTTCTGCTCTTCGCTTAAGGGCTGAAAGGTATTTCAGACTATGAATACAGCCAATTTCTAACAGCGGTCATCCCTAGTCTGAGAGTGAAAGTACACTGGCTTATAGCCTAGTAAATTGTACCAATTCATGTTGGATTCTAGATTTATGAAGTGGTATTTGGGAATGCAGTTTTTCTTGCAGAAACTTACTAACAAGTAAACAGTTATACGAATAGATCCTTCCATCAGACTTTGAGCTTTGTTTTTCTCTTTTTTAATCCTGGTTTGATACTTCGGCTTCCCAACCACTGCAGAAAGTACAAGTTAGTAGACAAACATATGTAAAGCTGTCTCCTTGCTTTTCCTTTGATTGGACAGTAGGCAACAGAACTGCTTCCAGTATAATGCATTTATGAGGTTTCTTGGGGGGAAAAAAAAAGTGTTTCCAGACCCATTTATTGTTCCATTTTTATTTTGTCTGAAAGAAAAATAAATCAAGGGAAGGGAAGGAAGTAAACATAGCATGTCACTTTGCTCTATAAAATGTTCTGAGTAGACAGGTGTGGCTTTATCAGGTAGAAGTGATGGAGCACAAGCTGGCTCTTATGATAGTGTTTCTGAATGTGGCAAATGTCAATTTGATCACAAAATGTGAGCAGCTGTGTAGCACCTTTTTGTTTCTGTAGAGATTGCTTCTCTGTATTGAGGGAACTAAAAGCCCTTGCCAAGTCCGTGTAACTGATATTCTTCTAGTTGTTTAAAAATATCTTGTGACCAACCACTTCAAATATTCAGCCTTTAATTCTTTTATTATTGTGTTTCAAGATGCCTAATTCTCAGATTGTACTGAGGAAGTACCTTGGTTTTGTTTATACTTACTGAGTTGGTATCTTAGCAATCAAATTCAAAGACAAATATGGTTCTGTGATAGACACAGAAAAAGCCAAACCAAGTATTTTATTGCCTGCAATTCAGTGAAAGGAAATTCAGTATCTCTTTATAGGCATATTACCTGCATTTCCAGTGAATCCTTTTATAAGGCCAAATTTGAATTAAATAAATCAACTGAGAATATTGTTTATAGTATGGGAAGCCGCTTCCCTTTGTGGCTAGTATGCTAAACAAAGACAGTATTAGAAATAATATGTAGTGTCACTGTGTCATCAGGCTGAAGGAACATCACAGCAAAGTGCCTTTATTGTAGGACAGTTTGTTGGCCAAAATAAATTATAATGACTATATTGATTTTAGCTAATTATCTATGAAATTTCAAAAGATTGAATCTTTAATTGATATTGAATTTCATTGACTTGATTGCTTTCCATGTCTGGTTTAAGTAAGTACTCTGAGTGCTCAAATCTCTAGTGGTGTTCAGAGCTGGGAGTGGGAGAAGGAGAGCAGAAGAGGTTGTATAATACTGCCAGGCAGGATTGAACTCAGGAAGGGGGGGTGGTATGGATAGGGAAGGGAAGACGATGTTCCTATTATATGCATGTGCAGGGTAGAAAATAGATGTGATGAGAAAACAGGAATGTGGATATTGCTTGGGGGCAGGTCTGAGTTGCAGAGGAACTCTTGTAGTGGTGTATGGCCCTCTGGATAGGGATTGCTGCCTCTGTAAGGAGTGGCAGTGTGGCTCCATCCAATTTGACCCATCCACTCCTTAGAATAATCTTTGATTTTACTATAAGAGGCATGACAACCAAGTATGGGATTTCGGAGGAGAGTTCATTTAGTATAGTCTCAGGCATTTGCACAGTGAGTGTTGAGCAGCATTTCACTGCCTTGGCTCATATTCCTCCTCCCATCCTCATCTGGATACGAGAACTTCCATGTGCCAGTGTCACTTCCAGGCTTAAGAGCAATTTCTAGGTCTGTAATTTTGATTCTTGCCTTATGTAATGATTTACCATCCCGAAATGGTTTGACTCGTTAGTGCCGCCTGCGGGTCTGCCCGGTGTGTTGTTACCTTGCTGTGCTGCAGTTCCCTTGTTTCCCTGCTGCTGAGTGGGTATGGTGTGGGCGGCTGGTTGGCATTTCAGTACTGCCGTGCTGTGCAAATGAATCCTAAACCTTTTCCCAAGGAGACTTTGAATCCTTTCTACACTGATTTCTGTTAAGAGCTCAGGTGTATGACTAAATCAATAATAGACTAATGACAATGTGAAGAGTGAAACCAACCTGTGTGGTGTTATTGAAAACACATTACTGGATCAGAACTCCAGAGCATGTAAAGTATTTGCTGAGTTGTGAGTCTGCTTTATTGATTTGTTTTCTTCCTTATGTTCTGCTGATTCCATAATTCTGTTAGATAAGTACAAATAATATATTTCTACCATTAAGAATCAGGTGCTTGATGTACTGCATCAGGTTATCAAAGCAGATATTTTGATCCCAGTAATTGGAGATAGCTGCTTCTTTAAAGGCAGGCCCTGCTCATCCATAAAAGTTTTCTTCTGACCTCTATGCAATTATTGTATTCTGTGAAGCATGCAATATAAGCATCAATGCTGTTAATAGCCATAAATAATTCCTCTTTCTAAAAATTTCTATCTGATCCATGTTGTTGACTTGCAGATGAAGTTGCTAAGTATCTCCCTAATGAAATTAACTATTACAGTCACGACCAGAGACTAAGGAAATGGAAAGCTGAGACAGCATGAAGAATTAACAATCATAGCAATTGACTGAGACATGGTGCTGCATAAAATAAAATGAGAAAAAGATCTGCATTCTCCAGAGACTGATCATGAAAGCTTTAACTCTTGACTAAAATAAATAATTACTTGGTGAGCTGTACAAATAGTATCAAAGGAGGACTGAGGGAACATACAAGGTAACATACTTGGTAACATTTGAAAGCAAGATGTTTGATGTCTTTTGTGAGGTCTGTGTCAATATAGATGGTACATTTCCAGTTAAATAAAACTAATTTATTTTTATAGGGAGAGGTAAAGTAGCAGAGGGTGTACATAATTACATGCAAGTCAGGAAAACTGGGGGCTGGTAGGATTTTCATGCTTAAGTTGGAGAGTGCTAAGGTACTTTAATGTGGAAATTACTTAGGTGCTTACTGAAAGATGGATTTTGGTATCATTAGACTAACTGGTTACTTTAATAGCCAAGATTTTGCCCAAGAACCATTTTAGTGCCCTTGATGAAAACAAAGTTTTGGGATATTTTTGTAATTACGTAATTTGTAACACAAATGTGAGTTGGAATTTGGACAGTCTAAACCAGACTACAGTTTGGTTATAGTGGTAAAATGTGGCCTGGGATGAGGCAGAGAAGTTTTATTCAACTCAATTCCTATGGGCCTCTGCAATAGGCATTTAAAAGTGAACAGTGAGTTTTCTTACTGCCTGTGTGTGAAACAGGGTCCTCCATGTCCTGGTGGTGATGGGGAGGGAGCAAGGTGTCCTGGTACCTCTGTAATCATCTGCCAGAGGATGTTGTGCTACCAGAAGAGCTGATACTAAAGCCTGAGCATGTTGGCTGTGTGGGGGAAAGTGGTTCTTGATATTTACAGGAATGAATATACCTGAGAGAGCTCAGACTACAGTGAGTGAGTTTAGAGAATAGGCCTGGATATACCAAAGCCTGCTTTTACATGAACTCTGTTGTAAGATTTTTTTTAAAAACTATTGTTTTGACATATAAAAATAATCAGAACAAAGGAGCACTGGGTTACCTAGCAGAATCCAAAAGTTGCTGGTAAATTTTCCTTATGCAGAACTAATGCTATATATTAGCTCACATAAATTCAGCAATGTATTTTAGGCAAAAATTAAGAGAACAGTAATTCTGAAAAAGCTATGATGCCACAGCAGCACTTCTTACAATATTTCAAGTTTTAAATAAATTTTGAAGTGAAACTAAAAACAAAAAAAAAAATTTAGTCCTTACATCATGAAATAGTTATAATTTGAAAACTAATTTCTCTTGATTGAACCACAAGACAAAATCTGTTATTCACATTTTTTGTTGAGAGCAGCAGGATTTACCTTAGCAGTTTAGAGAAATGGGAAAAAAAATCCATATGACTGTCAGGGCTTTCATCGAGTCTGAAATTTCACAAAGTGATTCCATCTTCTGTCTATAAAACTGGAAGGTTGTTGGGGTCAGAATGGATGGTTACAGGAGAGGCGAGTGGATCCTTAAGACAGAGTAGAAGGAGAAAGTATACGGAACTATAAAAGTGGAGATTGTGTCACTGTGACTTTTTGATAATGGGAGATGTGCTACCATTCAAATCTGCCTTCTGCTGATGGAAGTGTTTAGATGTGCTGGTTTTAGCTCTTTATAAAGCACTACATGGTGACCTGACTGCCAGGTCATGAGGAAGGTCAAACCAGATTTTATCACAGACTCCAGTGTGATTTCCCTCACTGGATTACACAGAGAAGGCACTTTAAAAATCTGCCCTAAGTCCCTTATCTGTCTCTCCATATTTTGCTGTTTGCTTCATGGAAGTGAAGAAATAGGAACAATTTTAATGTTGCAAATGTGATTATTTTTAAAGCTTTTTTTGTTGTTTATTTTTGTTTTGTTTTGGCTTTTTTTTTGGTAATTCCCCAAACACCACTACATCCACATTATTTTTCTTTCTTTGGCAAACACTGGCAGTTTCATCACTGTGTGGTGAGGCACCAGGAGCAGAAACCAATCATGTGGTATCATCAAGGCCATGTTTAGTTGGAACCCAAAAGAGGCAAAATTAAACAGTACTCTGAGAGGCAGAGGGTTGCTTTGCACTTTCTTCTGATGGTTTGAATTAGCTGTAGTGTATCAGGGATTCTTGGGTAAGAAGCTTGCCTGGCTTTTAGCTGCAACAGTTCATAGTGTTAATGTGAGACATTAGTGACGCAGATTTACTGGTACTGGCCTGTAAACTCATGCCTTGTTCTGAGTGGGCAGTTATGAATTGTGCTTTAAGTTAGCTGAATGCAGAAAATGGGAAGGAGCAGGACCATTAGCACTAATGAAGGAAAAATGGCATGAAGTATTAAATAACTATTATTATAAGATACTTCATAAATCCAAAGGAAATAGAGGTGGAAAAGACCTATGAGGTCACTTAACCTATCCATTCTGGAGGACTGGCTTACTGCCTGCGGTATATAATCATTGTCTGCTACTGCTGACTAGTTCTAAGTGCCCCAAGTTTTAGTACTCTTAATGCAAGACAGGAAGAAAGAAAGAGCCATAGACTTCTTTCAATTTTTTAAAAATTTTTCCTCAGTTCTTTTCTGTTTCTGAAACCTTTCCTCATATTTACATGTTAGCTTTTTCCTCTATTTTGTCTTTTTATTTTTGATTTTTGTTTTTTAGTTTTGGTTTGGTTTTTTTTTGCTTCAGTGTCAGAATGCCCTGAAGAGTGAGATAACTTTAATAACTCTGGATAGCTGTGTTGTCTCTGTCTTTTGTGTGGATCACAGTCACTACTTTGATTGACAATTCTCTTTTTTAATCTTCCTCAGTTATTATTTTTTTTTCTCTCTCTTTTGGCATCTGGATTCCCTGTCTAATCACCCCAAACTGGTAGTGTGAGGAGTGACAATATTTTTTTATATTTTCTTCTTTTTCTTTTTATGCCTCCTCACCATACATTTGCACATCCTCTTTGGACAAATATCCTGTTAAGAGAGAGCACTAGCATTATCCTTGTAGAGCTGGAAGGCAGTGATGATTTGCCACAAAGAATGGTTGTAGGAACAGTGAAGCCTCAGTGGAAATATTTGGGGGTTTTGCACCTTTATTTTGCACTTGTAGACACTCTGGAGTGATCAGTACCAAAAAGTAATGTTTGTTCTGTGTTTGACTGTCATGACTTGAATGCACACCCTGAAAAACAAGTATCTGTTCAAAAAGGAAACATGTCTGTCCATATCTGAGGAGAAAGCGTGGAACAGTTATTTATCCTCTCTGATTACTCTTACTATGATTTTTTGTTTCACTTATTCTGTAATTGCCTTTCCAGCCCGGTCAAGGAGTTTGGTGATGGGTGAACAGGTTGGGCCTCCCTCCAGACCATCTTCTCCAAATCCTCAAGAACGTGTGCTGAAGTGTGGCTGGCTAAAGAAACAAAGGAGCATTATGAAGAATTGGCAGCAGCGGTGGTTTGTGCTGCGTGGGGATCAGCTCTTCTATTATAAGGATGAAGAGGAAACTAAACCTCAGGTATGGCTAAGAGAACTGTAGGTGTTGTGACTTCTTTGTGATCACAGCCATGCTATGACTGACAGCTCATTTTAGTTGTTTTCTGTCCTCATCAAAACTATATACACTTAAGGAGGTTCAAAGGCACAAGACGTTGCAGGGAGGTTTTTCTACAACCAGACAAGTGGAAGAGCTTGGGCAAAGGTTAGAAGGTGTTTATGTTGGAGGGCATGCTGACCTCCAAATCCTAGTATGGCCAGCTATGAGACTGGAGTTTGACAAGAAGAGCTATGGAGTTGCAGATTACTGAGGCAGGAGTGATTAACCTTGCTTGCTCAGCTGGGACTTGTTATCTCCCAACTAATCCATTGTTAGCCATGAGGTGAACCAGCTGCTTAGAGCCGGCTTGTGTGTGTGAGGTATAAAACCTGCAGTGTGCAGGTTTTGTTAGATGCTGAGAATGGGATGGAATATGTGTTTTAGTGTGGGGGGAGGGAGTGGGTGTTGTGCTATGGGCTAAAGCTTACAGAGGAGATGAAGTATTTCTTATTCATGTTTTCCTAATGCCTGTAAAATTCTCTCAGAGCATTTGAGCTAAGGTCTTTCCTAGCTGCTGTAGTAGATTATACATCATAATTCACATAGTCATTGTTTTGACTCAGGCCTTTAACCAGAGTCATTGAACGGTGGGAACATAATTGAATGAGCCAGACGATGTCCCTGTACTGCTGGCTCCTGATGAGTCAGTACATGCATTACAGAGTGACAGTCAGCCTGTGTAATATCATCACCATCCACATGCTCATTATAGACAATTATTAAACTTCTTGGTGCAGCTGCCTGCTTGACTGTCACACATAAATTTCATTGTAGAGTGAGAATGGAAACTAATATTCCCCTGTGGGCCTGACATAAATATGGTAGATGAATGAGGATGTTGACTGCATCTTATATCTTGCACTCTCCTGATGAGGGATTTGGTCCATAATTATGGAAAGTTTGCTGTGTAAAGGCTAGAGAGATTTGAACTTGATGATGTAACTTGATTACTCAGGATGCTGCCAGTAACAGCTGGATTTTGCACCTTCAAACCAGGCACCTTATCTTCTTATGCAATGCATGTAAGCACATGGGAGAGCTGGGCACTTCTGACTCACATCAGTGAACATGATGAGGAAGAAATGGCCTCAGGTAGTCACATTGTAAACGTTTTCTTTAACCCTGACTGTTTTTGGGCACAGGGTTGCCATACATTTATCAATGTGGGGAGCCATTTTGTGTAGGATGGTACAGGACTATGTCCTAACTATTCTTGTAGGAGTTACAAATTAGGATTTGTATCTGATTTCAACTAGGGCTGCTTGCATCCCACAGATGAGATGTACTTTTGAGGCTTATAGACAGCTGTTGCTTGGGATTCTCTAGAATGAAGGGGCAATGGCACAGGTGTGCCCATGCATCTTAGGAAGACAACTGAGACCCTTTGTTGTAGGGAGATCATTTTTATAGGCCATGGAGATATTTTCACCTGTTGTTATTGATATTAAGCCCTAATTTCCTTCAGAGCTAAAGGTACTCATGCTTAATTTAAATCTTGTTGTTTTATTTATTAAGTATGACCTTTACGCTTGTGTGTAAAAACGAAATCAATAGTTTCCCTGAAATTCCCATTGATCTTCCACCTACTTGATTATTTATATATACTCTGGAAGAGAGTTGTATTCTTGTTGTTTACCTGATAAAGTCAAATGAGATTTTTGACATAATGTTTCAAAAGAGAAATACAAAGCAACATCTTTTTCTTTATGAATGTTGCATTGCCTATTTTTATGAAAACCTGCTCTTTCAGATTCTTAGAGGAAGCTGTTGATACTCTTCCTTTAATAGTATTGCTGAAAAGATGGAGCTGTAATCTAATGGCAGGAGAATCACACAGGCTTTCTGGTGTGAAGAGGAATTATTCTGTTGTCTTAATGGATTGAGTACTATTGAGGATGTGTATGTTTGTGTGCCACATGACAGTTGCTGTGGCACAGCCCACTCCATCAAAGACCAAAGGTTGGACTTGTAGACATTGTTTTTCTGCAGGGTTTTCTTTTTTTTTTTTTACTCTAGGGGACAGGGGGAAGGGAGGACTGACCTGGAAAGAGTTTTTGATGCTCCTACCGAGTCTGTCAATATGTGTGGGTTTTTAAAGTAGCTTTGGGCTTTTTTCTATTCCCAGGAAAGGAGAGAGCATGCACCCCTCCCCAATTTCCAGGGAAGCAGAATCCACTGTGCAACTAATTCATTAACCTTTCCTTCAGTATTGACTTGACATGATAAAAGGCTTTAATGCATCTGCAACGGGTTTGAATTTTGTACTTTAGAAAACAGCAGAATTTTTTAGAATGTGTTCTGGCCACTAAAGATGATGTTTTATACAATATTTTTCAACACCATTTTGAATAATTTGAGATGTATCTGCATTTTTGTCAAGTTACCTTTCCTGTGTTTTTCTGTTATCTCTGGAATGTCTTCAGTTTACCTTCTAATTTCAGTGAACCTTAGAGCCAAATTTCAGGGCAACAGGATTGGGAGGTAAGGGTGCTGAAGGTTTATCCTGTTGTGCTGACTTACTGTACCTCAATTTTAAATCTTACAACCATTCTTGAGGAATCACTCAGCATGGACATTATGAAGTGTCCTCCAACACGATGTCCTTCCACAACCTTACCCTTACACTAGGTAAGGGATAGGAGCTGAGCCTTGACACTGTTGAACAAAACATTTGTAGGAGGATATATTCCTGAGGAGCAAAGCTATGGAAGTTATACTGAATAGTGGCAGTGGAAAGTAGCACACCTGGCTTCATTGTTTTATAGAGAAGATTGCAAAGGTCTTATGAGTTGTCTTCTGTTAGTTGAAATTCTGGATTGTCTGTCTCTTGAGATGCTAATTATATTATTCCATTATACGTGGCTCTGGAAGCTGACAAATAGCATCACTAGAATTTGTTTTGATTACCAATGTTATGATGGCACAGTGTGTCTTGGATTTGGTTGTTGCCAGATTAGTAAACATGCATAGCTATGTTCTTATCAACCAGAGATGTGTGAAAAACCTGACTGAAACAACTTTCTTCATTTTCTGTTCATCAAGAGAAGATGCTTTGGACCCCATTTGAATTCCAGGACAGTTCAGTGCAAGAGTGGGAACTGCTGATTACCCTCTTCATGACTTAACTCTTGAGAGTGCCAGTTCTTGCTGTATTTTTTCTGTCTGATTGTGCATACGTCCTGAAGAATGCTAAACTGGAAACCCTTTAAAATATTGGTGAATTTTTGCAGCTTGTTTCGCTCACGTTACTGGACAAGAGCTTCCTGTCTTTTCAGCTTTTCCATAGATTAAGAGGATTTTATTCACTTTGAAGATACTGTCACCAGCCATGCAGAAATCCCAAACTGGAATATGTTGTGTTAATTATGCTTGGGCTCAAAGCGAAAATGAAGCTGAATACTGGCAGCATTTGAACTTGGGAAGTAAAGAGCCTCAGGTTGTTTTCTAGGGAAGTTATAGCCTTTTGGATTAAAAGGTAGTCCATTGTCTTGCAAATCTGAATTATCTGCTGTCTTCCAGTATTTCCCTGGGAACTTCTGTGTACTGAGAATCTCTGGAAAATCGGCCATTTTATTCAAATGCACACTGCAACCAGAAATTCAAGGGTGTAGGAAGAGTAGTTGTAATACGAGATGAAACTTTTGCAAAGGATAATTATGGAATAGTTAGAAATAGCTATAAATTATGGATAGTTATGGAAACCAAGGAGAATCACTTTCTGCATGCTCAGAGTAGTGTTATTCTAGAGGAAACAGCAGCGTCCAGTGCGAAAGAAAAGACAGTGAAGCAGGTGGATGATCAGCCCAAATCTTTTCTTGATCAGAGCTGTGGAAAGGTGTTGGGATGAGTAGATGAGCAGGACTTGAATTTACTATACATTTTATCATCTTTTCCTTACCCTTTTAGCGGTCTTTCCCTTTTCACTAATGTTTGTATCCATTACAGGGTTTGATACTTCTGCAAGGCAGTCAGGTGAACGAGCTGCCACCTAATCCGGATGAACCAGGGAAACATCTCTTTGAAATTACCCCAGGTATGCTAACTCTTTTTTGTGCTTTCACTATAAAATCACAACATTTCCCGTCAGTTGTCACTAATGAAAATTGAGTTGTACTGAATACTCCTGAATGTTCTGATACACTCGCGAGACTATCTAGTGAGACTGCGAAAGAGAACTTTACTACATGGTATTCTTTGTTCTGGATAGAAGTGCTGCTGTGGCACCTCATTTTCATTTTAAGGTAGTTGAGATGCATCATGCTCCATGACTTTCCTGTTTGAAGAAGGCTCTTTGCTTGGAGTGTTGTGTGGTCTCTCAAACAGATGCATTTGTCCAGTTGTTATGGGAGAAACAGACAAAGAACACAGCACAGAAGTTCTGGAAAAGGGACATGCAGTCTCTGGATGCAGTATCTTTCATGTATGCTACCTATTTTGGGAAGTGGGTGGGAAGGCAGACAGAAAGCTTCAAAACACTTCCCTTTTGGATGAAAGGTTTAAGAAAATAATGACCTGGCATGGAAGAGAGGTTGACATTTTTTTTAATGTAGAAAATATAATGATCTGTCACTGTAGTATTAATGTAAAACTTTTGCAGTCATTTTAGCTCCCATATAAACACTTGCTGTGGACAGAGCTGGTATCTCCAGGATAGATTTAAAATTAAGTTCCCTGTTGCAGTATAGGAGCAACTGAATTCAGTTGATTTAGTTCTGATTGTATTTGGGAGAGGACCATCCCTATGCATGGGTTTCAATGCACTGTATTCAGGTGGTAGTTTCAGGTAGCAGGATCTACAGAGGAAAAAAAAACTGTTTCACTGCTACAGTGTTACAACAGAGGAATGAGAGCAGTGAAAGGATTGAGCCACTTCATCTATTTCTCTGTACCTGAACCCCGAGTTCCTAGAAAGGAACAGGCAAAAGTGATTGTGCTAAAAATTGTGTGAGTGCACTCGATCATCCTTCACTTCACTGCCAGCTTGGCCTGCATGGACTACCTGTCCATGCTGCTTAGCATTGTCTCTCCCCACAGCATTGGTGCTGTCAGTAGGGCAGATAAAAGTAACTGCTTTAGGCTGCCTCTTGTTTCTTAATGGAATTTTTTAAAGCCGAATGCTTGCCCCCAGTATTTGAATGTTGTTGCTGTGGAGTCAGGTGTGTTTTTACTATTTGGGAGTCTTTTTCTTGCCACCCTGTTAGGCTAGCTTAAAATGCCATTTTTGCACACCCCTCTTGAGGTAGTATCAGGCAGAGCAAGAACAGGCAGTGCTGTAAGGTTTTCAACTACAGCATCAGGCAGTGTTTTGCATTACCTTAGTTGCAAAATTCTGTTTGACATGGAGGAAGCTACTTGGGGAGAAGGGATTTTATTTTTTTTTTGTTTTTGCTTATCACTGTGCACTATCCTTTAATACCTTTTTCCCCCTTATATTGCACTGTGCCCTCATAGGCAGGGCCCCACAAACAGCAGGACCTTGGGCCCACAGAGTTGCCTCTATGGAGGATCTCCAAGGAAGTGGCATTCATTGTTGCTCTGAATGAGACACATCTGCCCCATACTAGTGCAGAAGGACTGTGGACCTACAATGTGAAAGCACTTGGGTTGTTGTGATCCTGAATGATCCCATCTGTTGTGGCAGTGATCTGAAATAATTAACTGAGCTTGACTGAGTTTCCTGCAGGTTTGAGTTTCTTCTGATTCCAGATGGCAAAATAGTAATTCTGTGCTACTTGTCCAGTTTATCAGATTATATTACTGTAGCCTACAGGAGAATTGTCCTAAACTGCAGGCAGCTGTTGCTTCAGGTGAGTTGGTAAAGCAGGGCATGTGGCTAGTTGAAATGGGCTATTCAGCATAGTGAAAAAAGTGACACAGTTTAGCATGATTGTGGATCCCAGGATATTTGTGTTCAGTCTGGGGTTTTGACATCGCACTTTTCTGTGTCCCCTGGAAAAACAATTCAGTGTACCACTAACTTATGGAGGTAAACCCTGTTTGTAGCAAATGTAGTTGCTAGATGGATAGTATCGAAAAGCACTATAAATAGCCAGTCAATACAGAACGTAATTGACACAGACGTCGCTGGAGAATGTGGCCCAAAGAGTTCCCCATTTTGTTCACAGTACATTTATTCTGTGCTGGTTTTGGCATAAGTGCCTTTTCTTTTTTTGCGTGTGTTCTCAAATGACCGTGTTCTGCGTGGTTGCCAGCCTGCAGAACACCCACATAGTGAGCAGCTCTGAAACAGATGCCAGCTAGAAAGGGGAGCACAAATGATCTTGCAGGACCCAGATATTTATTTCTCATCACTGCCCATCTTTCCCTGCGTTGGATGTATGGCCATGATCACATTTCTGCCTAATTGTGCTTCATTTATCCCATTATAAGCTAGGACTCTACAGTTTCTATTTTTTAAGTTTTCTTAGCTAAGTTGGGGATTTTGTGAATACAGGTACATTCAATAGCTGTAAGTATTAGATTGAGGTTTTACTGGGCTATTCAGCATCAGAGCTTTAACTAACAAAATTTAGAATGGAGTGTAACATTCCTAAAATGCACCCATAGCTGACACCAGCTTATCTGGAAAATAGAAGAGGCTGAGATCTGAGAAATTTCCAAAGAGTTCCAAAGTCTGTGGTACCAGTTATCTCCAAAAGCCTATTTTGTGATTAATAGCTAACACATTCAGTGTACTTGTTGTGGAATTGTTGCTGAGATGTTGCCGCCTTTTCTCTGCTGCAGGCTGTGTTAAGTTTGGCTGTGGGACCTGTTCCCTCAGAGTGCAGGGACTAGTGCTGTAACAGAGCATGTATTGATTTTTCTGCTGAGTAACAAGAACTAATGATGGGCATTGTGTATTATTCATGTTTCATCAAGTTCATTTCTAAGCTGTATAGGGCAGCTGGGAGAAGGGTTAACTAGGGACATGAGAGACTGCAGAACAGTTCTACAGTCAAACTAGTGTTTGATCTGGTGACAGGACTTCCTGAAATATATTCTCTGTATTCCTTTTTGGGGAAACAGGGTAAATTTCTGGACCTTTTTGAATCAATTCATGCTTCCCTTCACCATAGCTAGAAATTCAAAGTGGAATAATGGGGTAAGCCGTGGGTGCCAGTTGCTCTCATACTCCAGTGCACATTAGCAGGTGGTGGGGGATGTTTGTGTAAAATTATGAGGGTAGTATGAGGTCAGGTGTTGTACCATTTGGGGTAACAATTCCACAGCATCTGGTGTTTATAGATGGAAATTTTCTTTGTTGCTTGGGAGAGGAGTCCAAATCTGGCAACAGAGACAGCATCTGCTGTTGCTAGGGGCAACAGGACAACTTAGTGTTGACATGGGGTTACAGTGCATTTTGGAGTGGTGTATTGCAGCTTGTAAGAAGCCACAGGGATTAAGCTCTGACAAAGTCTTAAGGAATGCTGATGACTTAAGTGCTCCTGAGGTCTCACCTTTCAGAAAATGGATGTTTTAATGTCTTGTGGCAAGTGGTCTACCTAGCTTCATTCCCCAGTCTGCAGCACCATGAGATGCTCAAGTTCTTCTGCAGACAGAGAATTTCCTGATGTAGTACAGTTTTTAGAATCAAGGAGGAGAGTAGTAAAAAGGTTCAGAATAAAAGGTTCATGGTACACATCTTGATGTCTCCTAACCACTGATGATAGCTCATTCCTGTTTATTGCCACAGTGCTTTCTGCTAAGGTGAACAGTGACAGCTCTTAGCCGAGACTTCCTGTGAGAATAAGAGTGCAGATTTGTAATGCATTTAATTTTTTCATTAGAAACAACTGCTGAAGGGGTTGATCTTGTTTCCAGATACTTAATCATATCTTTCATTTCAGCTCTTATAACTGAAAAAAGTTCCCAAACCGGTTGGACTTCAGGTCAGTTGAACAGAGGTAATGAAAACTTCACCTTCAGGTTGTATTTTGTGCTCCAGTTGAGTTAGCACCAGCCTCCTCTTTAATGAGGCAGTCCAGTCCTCTTCATAATTGTTACCTTGGTCTTTTTTGCAGACTTAGAGCAAGGATCACTGCCCACACTTGATTTACATGTCAAAGGTTATTTTCAAAACTTTAGAAGTCAGTTCTCTATGGTGTGCTCTTTCAGTTAATTATAAAGACTTAATTCAATACAGGCAACTTGCCCTTACAAAAGGGACTTGCATCCTTCAAAGATGGAGTGGTGGTTGCACCATGCCAGAAGTTAGGTTGGGGCAAAATAAAATGCCTCCTGCAGTAACTTTGTGCAGCATTTATGTAGAAGCTACTTCACTGCCTTGGTTGTGCTATATAACAAGAAAGAAAGTCAAGAAAGGCAGAATAAGAAGGTAGGCGTTCTAATTCTTACAGGAACAGTAATTGCTGTCTGCTTGTTCTGTAGGGGTCCATTTGTGCTGTTGACAATATCTGACAGAGAATTTGGAGTGGCAGCTTGTTTGTCTTGTACCAGTAGGTGGAATGATGCCCACAGAGCAGTCTGATCTGTGGTACACTTCAGCATCCCAGGTGATCGACACCAATTAAGCTATTTTTGTGGCTTTTTCATCTCAGTTCCTGTTGAGATGGTGTGTAATTAAAACACCTGGAGGAGAAATTAGAAATTCATACATTGAAAATCATTCAGTGTTCTCTATTATTCAATGCAAATTGCAATTCTAATTAACAGCAGGATCCTGAGTTTGCTGTTGGTAATTAAGTTTTCTCCTGAAGTCTGCAGCTGAAAACTGACTGTGCATATCTGAATATGTGATGATGTTGATATTTGAGAGATATATTTAGATTTCTGTGATTGGGCATCCACCATATTGACTGGGGAAATGGCAGCAAAATAAAGTAACTTTGAGTCCTACTAGAAAGTTTAAGACAGTGTAGTTGCAGCGGTGCATTCTGGAAACACTTAGCAAGAGAGAGCTATGGGTGTTACTATGTCCATGGCATTGCATTGACCTTGACAAGAAGATTGCTGGTCTTGGTTTTGCAGTGGAAAGCCCTGTCAGATCTGTGTTTATTACTTCTAGATGTCTGG